CATAACACCTTAAAGCAATTTTGCAATAAGTAAGCTCTAAACAGGTTCCAAATATGGGCTGCTCGAGAGACCATGGCCCAGGGACTCAGAGCACTAATTCTGCTATTCAGTGGCTTGGTAACTTTGAGCAGGTTGCTTTCTTTTGAGCCTGTTTTTCTCCCTGGAGATATGGACCATCATTACCTATAAGGAGTACAGATAACTGTGTGACAAAGTACCCAGCCTGGGCTGGAAGTGGTCATGACAGCATCACTTATTCTTCGCCAAATATACATGGCCTTTGGTTTCCTCCTGCACTTTGCCTCAGGCCTCACCGTCTCTATTCCAGCTTTATTTACTCATCTCGCTCACCACATTCCTGCCCCAACAAAGTCACTGTCCTCAGCCTGGCGCCCAGCACCACTCAACAGGGATGAGGCCTTGTGGGAAAAAAGCATTACTTTTTTAAAAATTTCCATCCGATTTTTTAAAAGTATCTTTAACTTTTTGTTTTGAAATGATTTCATGTTTGCTCTGAGAATTACAAAACTAGTACAGTTTCTATATGCCCTTTACATAAGCTTCCCCAAAGGCTAACGTCTTATACCATCACGGCCCCATTATCAAAACCAGGAAAAGAGCATTATGCAGGACTATTGGCCAATTTACAGGTCTTACTCAAATGTCATGAGATGTCTCACTGCTGGCCCTTGACTGAGCCAGAATCCCACATCAGATGTCCTTCTCATGTCTCTTTAGTCTCCTATAATCCTTGGCAGGTCCTCTGTGTTTATTAGTTCTTCATACTCTTAACACTTTGGACAAATGCTGGCCAGTTACCAGTTTGGATGTTTGGTGTTTTCCTCGTCGTGAGACTGGAGCTGTCCATTTTGCACAAGGCCCCACAGAAGCAATGCTGTGCCCTCTTCAGTGCAGCATGTAGGAGGCACCGTATGCCCCTGTGTTTCCTTCCTGGTGATGTTCACACCCTTGTTTAGTCGAGATGATGTCTTCCTGGTTTCTCCATTGTACCACTGCACCTTCTTTGTAATTAATGAGAATCTTACAGGGCGATAATATCCTGTTCCTCATCAGACTTTGTCCTTAGCCATTTCTGTCTCTATGTGTACAGATTCGTGGCTTCCTGTTTTATCCAGTGAGTTACAATCTATGACTGTCATTATTCTTTGTGATGCTCACGCTGTCCTTTCTCTGGCCAGCAGTAGCCCCCGCAAGCTGGCCTTTTGCCCCATTGATCTGTTCTCTTCATTCTTTGAACACTTTCCTGCTTTCTGACCTAAGGTGAAGCTCTGGGTTCATCTTGCATGTTCCCTTCCCATCCCTGGAACCAGTCACTTCTGCAAGGTGCTCTGCACCCTTTGAGTGGAGAATGGTGTTTAGAAGCTAAGGTTGAGCTGCTGGCTCTCCTCATTGCTGGTGAGCTGTTGGGCTTCCTGGACCCACTTTAGGAAAAGAGCTAGGGAGCGTATGTATGGATGACGTGTACACACATGCATCTATTTCTATATCTGTCTGTATTTTGAAAATCATGAATTCACAGCAATACCTCCATTTCCTCTCAACCACCACGTTTGCACCTCCTTCCTATAGCAAGGAGGCACCTGAATCCCATTAGCCTCAATATATGTCAATATTTGATCAGTCCCCTCTGCCACCCTTCTTGCCCCTTCCTGCCCACCTTGACTCTGCCCCAGGCAACCCCTCACCTTAACCTGAGTGCTCTCTGGCTTCTACCAAAACATACAGTTTTTCAACAGTAGTTTGTATATGTTTTTTTGTTTGTTTGTTTGTTTTTTTAATGGGAGGTCCAGTTTCTGTCTGTGGGCTTCTTATGGTAATTGGGACCAGAAAACTGAATCTTTAGCTACCTGTGGTGGCTTGAGCCCCAGGGCACTGCCAGAAAGAACCTTTCAGACCCTCTGTGCACATCTTGTTTTGTTTGGAAAAACTTGAGTTCCAGCCAGGGCAGCGGTTTTCTGAATGTAGATAACTATGTCAGGCCCCTGCCACAACCCTGCCTATTGCTTGTTTTTCCAGTCTAGACCCCATATGCCCTTTCCCCTAGCGCAAAGTGTCCTTCCTAAGACATGAGGCTGACTGTGTCCTTCAGCTCTGCTTTCTCAGCCCAGAGAGCCTGAGGACCCTGGGCCTCGTTTGATCTACAGACTTGTCATATTTGTCCTGATTGGAAGCTTCCATGTCAATTTTAAAATTTTTGGCTCCACTTGGCAGATCAGAACATCTGGCCATGATGAGCCCACATCTCCACCTGGTTCCTCTGCAGATGCTCCTCATCTCATTATGAGGCTACCATTAAATCCATTGTAAATCAGAAATGGATTTACTACAACTAACTCACCAGCCTTCATAGCTTAGCCCAGGCTGCCTTAAACATGCTCACTGCATGTACTTTGGCCTACACTTAGCCAAGAGCATCTAACACAGAGCCTATTTTATAATGAAGTGTTGACTCTCTGATGGGTTTCACTGAACTCAGCACATTGGAGCGTCAGTCAGTTGCTGTCCTGATCCTGTAGCTGTCCAGGAGCCTCAGCTTGCTGTCTGTGTTCAGCACGGCGAGGAAGAATTGTACTTAGTATCGCTAGCCTGGGAAAAGATCCAGATTCAAAAGTCACAGCGCAGTTTCGATTCAACGTGGATCTCTTGTACACTGTGGTCAAGTCAAAAAATCACTGCCGGACTATCACAATTTAGGGGCCTGTCTGTATGGAGCTCCCCATCCCCCAACTCTCATTTTGCTGATCTTTGACAGCCCTGCAGTGTGTTATCCACCTGGTCCCCCTGGCATTGGCATGGGAATCACCGGCCATGCCTGGCACTCGGGCCCGCCCACATCTTAGCCTCCTGCCTCATTCCGTTCCCTGCTAACATGGAGTAAACGCAGCACTCTGGACTCTGCCCCACTCTTGGTCTTGACTTTCCCTGTCCCCCTCTCTAGACTTCTCCCCTTCTACCCACTCTCGACCTCCTCCTGCTCTAGTCTTCAGGCGTCACCTCGTGCAGGAAGCCTCACAGAGACTGAACAGAACAGAGGTGGGGAGTGGGGGTCTGGTCCCCCAGTGCTGACCACACCATTCTCTGTGTTTTGTTTGTTTCTGCTGCTAAACTTCAGGTTCACAGGACCAAAAGCCAATTTTTATCCCTGTGGGCTCTGCACATAGTAGGTGCTTTGCAAACATTAGTCAAGCGAGCATTAATAAGAACACTAGCCAATTCTTACCTAGTACTTCCTGGATGCAAGGCACAGTTGTCATTGCTTTACATGAACTCAGTCATTTGACCCTCACTGCTGTGCTGTGAGATATTTACTGTTGCCCTGTTTCATGGACAAAGTAACTGAGGCACACAGTGGTGAAGTGCTATGCCTAATGACACACAGTGGTGTCCAGGTTGAATTCTGGCAGTCTGACGCCACAGCCCATGATGGGACGGCCCTCTCATAGACCTCTGAAGGTTAAAGGGTTCCACATGTGCAAGATAAGGGAGTTGAGTAGGTATGGAGAACTGTATCACATAGACCTCCTATTTCTATCACACCCTCCGCTCTAATTTCTGGTGCCTTTAGTTAGGAGCCCAAGCACAGAGCAGACAACAGAGAAAGTGGTACCTCGAACCTGGCAGCCCACAGGTTTTTCTTCCCTGAGGTCTTAAGAAACTGAGCACATTTTCCATGTAATTAGCACCCAGAATCAAGAATCAGTTCTTATGCAAGATTGCCAGGCCATTGCGTTGGGCTTAGCAGAGTGTATTTTGTTTCCCAATCACCAGAGGAGTCACATGCCAGCTTGTCACCAGCCACTCCACTGAGTCAGGCTCCACCCAAGAGCCTGGGAATGCTCTGTGGACTATGGCTTTGTTGATAGATCTCTGCAGTGTGAGAACTGTCTGCTGCTCACATTCGAGGGATGGGAAGGGAGCCAAATATGTGGGCACCTCCCGGGTGAATGAGGCATCTAATCCTCTGCAGACACATTTCCTCTTCTCGTTAACCTTGCAGCGTCACGTAGTTGTGGCTCTGCTTTTGCAGATGAGGAAACCAAGGCTTTGGGAAGTAAAGTCTGTTGCAGTCTGCAGTCTGATCCAGGACCTTCTCTCTTAAATAGCCAGTGGTAAAATGGGCTCAGAAGTAAACCCACATCTATGTGATTCTGAAGCCCTGGCTTTTCTCAACACACTAGTCAGTGCCTCAGGTGTCTGGAAGGAACCCACAGGAAAGAAAGGTCGCTACAGTGTTACTGGGGAGGAAACACAGTGGGGACCCAGCACTGTCACAAACTGACACCAGGACTGTGGGCTCCAGGATGGATTTTGTGCTAATCTCATGCTGTAAAGTTAAGAAGAATCTCCAAGGAGCAGGTAGCTGGAGCGGCAGGAGCGGAGCCAGCAGGAGGATGTTGTTTGTGTGGGGTGGAAACAGGAGGAGGAGGTGGGGAAGGCAGGAAAGGGAAAGGGGCGGAGAGGTGATGCAGAGCAGCAATTTGCCCCGGCACCATCATAAACTCAAGAGAGCCCAAGTCTCTCCCTGTTTTAGTGTCTAAGTCACCTGAGGCTCAGGTGTTCGGTTCATTCTGCAGTTACTGATCCAGTGTCTGCAGCATGCCAGGCCCACGCTGGGGTTTGGAGACAAGGCTGGGAACAAAACCTAATAAGGTCCCTGCCCTCAAGGAGGATGCATTTTGATGGGGGGAAACCTATCAAGAAATGTAAACAGATGAACGTGCAGGGTCACTTGTAATGACCCTGGGTAATAAGTGTCACACAGAAGATAGGATGAAGGGACGCCTGGAAGGACTGTGGAGGGGTGAGGGCTGCAGAAGGTGGGCTCTCCTGAGGTCTGGGGCAGCGGGTGAGACTGGCCAAAGCAATGGAAGGAATTGTGGCTCTCTGATCCACTTGCCATGCAGCAGCTCCCCTCCCACTGCCTTGAGACCCATCTGTGCATGTGTCTTCCTCACTGCTGTTCTCTTTTTTCTCTGCAGGTTTGACATCTACAGGAAGGTGCCCAAGGACCTTACGCAGCCAACCTACACCGGGGCCATTAGTGAGTAGCTGCCCTCCAACCCCTGCCCCCGCCCTTGCCTGTGCCCCTGGGTACTCATACCATCTGCACAGAAGTTGCGGATCAGGGAAGAAGGAAGGAAAAGCAAAAGGGAACTTCATGCCAGGTCCTTCACTTATTCCCACATTGAGTTTCTGTCCTTATGTAGCCCTCCAAGGTATAAATTTCTTTTTTTTTTTTTTTGATACCAGGGATCATACTCAGGTCCCTGGGCTTGCAAGGCAGGTGGTGCAGCCACTGAGCTAAATCCCCAGCCCAGCATGACCTATTTCTAAAAGGGTAAAAAGAAATTATGAAGACAGGTCAAGGATTGCTAATTTGAAGATCTGAAATCCAAAAAGCTCTAAACTCCAAAACTTTTCTTGCAGGGCTGTAAATTGAACCCAGAGCCTCATGTGTTCTACACAAACACTCTAACACTGAGCTACATTCCCAGCCCCCAAATGCAAAATTTTTGAACATCAGCATGATGCTGGATGTGGAAAATTCACACCTAGCCTTATGTGACAGGTAGCAGTCAAAACATAGGTAAACTAAATATACTGCATGACATTACCTTTGGAGCATGTGTATAAGGTGTATCTAAACATAAATTAGTTTTGTGTTTAGACTTGGGTCCCATCCCCAAGGCATCTCATTGCATATATGCAACTATTCCAAAATCAGAAAAAATACAGCACCAGAATGCTTCAGAAACCAGAGCATTCTGGATAAAGGACATTGCACCTGTAGATCTACCCTGGGAGAGGAAACTGGGATTGAGGGGTCTGTAGAAGATTTACTTTTATCTTCATACCTTTGAAATGATTTGTATGATTTATATGAGCATATTTTTACCCATTTTTTAAAATCACAGACCCAGATTTTGGTTTCTAGACATGATTCTTCAATGAAAGTAACCAGGGCTCTTTAGAAAAATGGCTGATTCAAGCACGAGGTAGGGAAGACACGAAGCAAGCTGAAGCACCTTGTGTCAGGACTCAAGAGCTGACCTGCAGGAGGACTCAGAAACCAAGCTGCAGAGTTAGGAGGTTAATAATGACATTATTGGTTAAGCCCAAAGAATTAAGAACGCCTGTGAGTCTATACTGAGGGGGAGACAAATCTTCCTTACAGAAGAATTCCAAATGATGTATATAGATACTCGCCCATCCGGAAGGTGAGTGTGGGCAGGGTGTAGCAACTCCCTACCGAAGAACGGAAATTTAAAATCGTAGCTGTAGGGAAACCTGGAAACAGCACCTCAGCCAAAAGGGAGGCAAGTCTGCTTCGCCAGTGGTAAAGCTCATGGGTGTTGTGCACCCCGATGGGATGTGTGGAGCCACCTTGCCCCTGGGGATCTTCCCCAAAAGGCTGCAGTCCAGCCAGGTCATGAGAAAACATTACAGTCTCAGGTTGGAAGACCTTCTCTGGGATGCAAGGCCAGTCCTCTTCCAAAGGAACCAGGCCTCACAAAGCTGAGGGAAAACCAAGATGCTGTCCCAGATTAGAGAAGCGCCAGGATGAGTAAGTGCAAAGTGGGATCCTGCCTCAGTACCTGGAACAGAAGCAAAAGGCATTTGTGGGAAAACTGCTAGATTCTAAATAAAGGCTGTAGTTGAGTTAATAGTACTGAACCAATGATAATTTCTTCACTTTGACAGATACACTGCATTACTTTGTGTTGTTAACAAAGGGAAAGCCAGATAAAGGCTCAGTGGGAACTCTGTGCTATCTTTACTTCTATTACTATTCCACAATAGACGTGTATTTTTAAAAAGAAATGATACCCAAACAAATCAAAGCTGTCTTACAAGCGAGGGTACTTCACCTTCATTTTTCTGATGAGGAAATGAGCTCAAAGGGGTAAAGTGACTCATCTGAAGTTTTGCAGCTTGCGAAAGGTAAAGCCAGGATTAGGACTCAGGTTGGCTTCTTTGGACAGTCCCACCCTCTCCCATGGGAGAAAGCCTGGTGTCCAGTCCCACAGTCCACAGCTGGGAAGGTGGCCTGGGATGCCCCGCCCACTCCATTCGCCCCCTGTCCCAGCTCAGCTTATTGAGGCTATGGAAGCCTTGTTGAGTATAGGGGATAGGAATAACGCAGCCAAGTGGGGGACTGCACGTCCCATCGGCCCTCCTATCACGCAAAGCTAGTTCCATTGTCCCGTTTAGCAGCTGTGTGACCTTGGGCGAGTCCCTTCTCTGAGTCCCAGTTTCCTGATGTGAAGGTTAAATGAGATTACCCCTGTCCAGAGCAGGGGACATAACCTCTTGGTGCATGGACAGCTCTCCTCTCTCTCATTACCATTCTTCGAGGAGCCCGCAATCAACCTTTGTGGATCTGTGACTCAAGAGGCTGTGTGACTTTGTCCTTGACCACTCCCAAAGAATGGATATTTAGGAAAACATGAGCGTAAAGGGGTGCACTTAATTTATGAGCTTGTCTAAAAAAAGTTCAGATGAAGTTCCCTACCCACTTTCTGCCGCCAACCAACAGCTCAGACCTCTTTCCTCTTCTCAGTCCTACAGTATCCCCCTTGTCTGATTTAACAATCAGATGTGTATCCTCCTAGAACTTTACAAAAAAATATTCAGGCTTTGATATACCTACATCATGTTTAGACACCTTTCCTGTCAGCACACCAACCCCTGCATATTCTGCTGTCTTATTCCATTACCTGGATGACCCATGGTTCAAATAACTGTCCCTGAAGGAGAACATGCACCATGATAGTTTGTTGCTATTGCCACATCCTTGTCCATATCTCTTTGCATCCTTGTATGGCTGTCTGTAAGGTAACTTTCTGAGGTCAGGAATTACTGGGCCAAAGGGTATGTATACTCTACCATGCAGAAGGCTTTGCCAAATGGTGCTCCAGGGACATAGTCTGATGTGCATTCCCAGCCACAGCATGAGATGATGAATTTCCTTGCACAAGAGGAAAGGCATGAGGCATAGGAAGCCAGCCCTTAGCTACCATTTAGTGAACAAATATTTATGGAGCAGGTCCTGGGGCCAGGCCCCATGCCAAGTGCTAAGACCATGCCGATGAATGGACTTCACTCTTTGTCCTTGAGGCGCACACAGCCAAGTGGGGCAGGCAGACTCAGGCACACACCATTGCATTACGTTGTGCTAAGTGCTATTAATAACTGAAAGAAAGCTCAAGGTTACTGGAGACTCATGGATCAGGATGTGAACTCTGCCTCCTCCACTTACATGACCAGTAAACTTGGACACATTCCTTGACCCTTTGGCAGAGTGTTGGGGCTCAGGTCCACTGCCCGGCTGCTCCAGGTTTCCTACTAGCAAGCCTCCTCCTGGGGTCACATTCCTCCCATGAGGGGCCTGAGTCAGTTTCAGAAGAAGGCTGGACTCAGAGTCTTGCCCAAACATGGATGAAAACTCTTCATCAAGCCTTCCAGAAGACCTTCTGATGGAAATACTTCCTAGCTGCCTTTGTGTTTTTCATTCACTCAGTGGACGTGTATTCATTTTGCACCTTCTCTGAGCCAGACAGTGTGCTAGACCCCAAGGCCACAGTGGTACAAGACCTTGCTTCTGTCCTTCTAGTCTGGGTTGGGATAAGGAGAACAGACACAATAAAGCAAATGTGATCAGGGCCTTTGGACTTCTAGGGTCTCGGTGAGCAGACTCAGTGGATATCATGTCTATCTGCTGGATTGACCAGGCTTTGGTCCAAGCCCTAAAGAAGCATATAGCTTTCCACAGAGAGGCCTGCCTTTCTACCTCCAGCCTGCACAGAGGGAGAACCTGGGGACTTATCTGTAAGTAGGAAAGGGATTTTAAAAATAAATATGTATTTATATATAAAATATATAATTTATAATTTATACTCTATTTAGGCCACCAGGATTAGGGCTGTGCCAAACCAATCAGAGGACTTATTTAGTAATCACCCACTCTTAATCCCACATCACACACTCTAGATTCAGGCACCTCTGAAAAAGCCTCACCTGTGTGTGACCACTGAGGCTCTGGGGGGCCATCTAGACACAAACTATAACATATGCCTACTTAAAAAAAAAGTAAAACGCTTAAATGCTGCCACTATACAACTTCTTCAAAGTTAAGTGGACATTGGGAGTATTGTAACCTCCCAATGATAACTCGGTATAATTGTAGGGACTCATGGGCAGTTTGAAGACATCCTACCCTTCACATGTAGCCCAAGTTTCTGGAGACCCTTTCCTCAGTGCGCACAGGCACTCCATCCTGCCTCCCACAACCCACATGGCAGTCAGTCCATTTTTTCTCCCTGAGCCTCTATTTCTATGCCCTTAACAAGGGCGGGGCCCCCTGTCAGGACTGGTAGGAGCGTGACATGACAGGCTGTTAGTGTACCCACAACAGGGCGTGCAGTGGTTGCCCAGCAAATGCTTGTTCTCTTCCTTCACACAGAATGCATCGTTAGCTGTTTATTGTTAAGACAGATAGGAAGATGATAGATAGATAAATAGATAGATAGATAGAATGATTAAAAAGTAGGCAGATGAATAAGACGAGAGATGGGTAGGTAGGTAGGTATGTGGATAGATACAGAAAAGTACACATTCCTCTTGACTTTCAATAGTGTTGTATTCCATCATATCCATCTTAGGTTGAAAATATAATAATTCTAAAATGCATTGAGCTGGATGTAGTAGCTTGTGGCTATAATCCCAGCGACTCTGGAGGCCAAGACTGGAAGATTGTGAGCTTAAGGCCAGCCTAGGTAAGATAGTCAGGCTCTGTCTCAAAAAAAAAAAAAAAAAAAAAAAAAAAAAAAAAAAAAAAAAAAAAAAAAAAAAAAAAAAAAAAAAAAAAAAAAAAAAAAAAAAAAAAAAAAAAAAAAAAAAAAAAAAAAAAAAAAAAAAAAAAAAAAAAAAAAAAAAAAAGCATTAGATCTTCCCAACTACCAACCACGATGGCTTAGCAGCAGCACTTGAGAATATAGATGTTTCTCCTGGTGCTGGCGGGGCTGACTAGAACAGGGGCTCACTGTCCTGCCCAACATCATGAGAGAGTATTCTGTGTATCTCTAGCCTTGGAAAAGGGCAAAACTCAAAGTATTGTTTCTACTGAATGTGTGTCACTGTCATCCCATTGTAAAACTGAAAAGAGTGTGTAGACAGACCAATGGCAGCAGACACTCCAGCCCAGCCTCAGAAGCAGGCGGGAGGGCCCTGTGGCACCCTGGAGGTCCCAGGCTCTGGATCAGTGGGGTGAAGCTCTGGCATGCAGCAGGCCATTTAGGTCACTGAAAGCTCTAAAAGGTTTGCCATCGCTGCTCTATATGAAAACAAGGCTGGGTATTCTGCAAAAGTCAGAAATCTGGGATTTTATATAAAATCTCTCAAACATTCAATGTGGTCTCCAAATTTTAAAATATATGATACTCTGTGCTGTAGATGTTACATTTCCTTAAAGATAAGATTGGGTCTTATATTAATTTTTGCTTCAAAAATCGCAATAGGGCTTATTTTCAGGGGATGTCTTAATTGTTATGTACAACAAACTGCATTTATTTGGGTATAGTAATCTATACTTATTCATTTACAAAAATTTACATTTATCCATATACAAAAACCTACGTGTATTCAAATGCGGTCGTGTCGTCTTCTTCTGGAACACCATCATAATTCCCTACATCCATCAACATGTACTAATGCATCCTCCAGCTGATGTTCTTTTTTTTTTTTTTGGTACCGGGGATTGAACTTGGGTCCTTGCTCTTGCAAGGCAGGCCACTGGACCACTGAGCTAAATCCCCGGCCCAAGGCTGATGTTCTTAACTGGGGCTTATTAGAAGGGTAGGGCAGCTGGCCATGGTGGCGCACACCTGTTATCCCAGCACTCAGGAGGCTGAGATTGGAGGATTGCTGTGAGACCAGCCTGGGCTACATAGTGAGTTCCAGGTCTCAACTACAGAGTGAGACCCTGTCTCAAAATAACAACAACAAAAAAAAGGGTAGGGCTTATATTACAAGCATCCTAAAAAATCATTCTAGGGCTTTTCTTAGGTCTCACTTTCAAGGAAATAGATATAGTTTGATGGGAGAGCATGGTGCACATGGAGCCCCAGGTTCAATTTGTAGCATTGATAAACAGATAGGGGCCAGGGATTTAGCTCAGTGGTGCCATGCCTGCCTCACAAGTGCCAGTTCTAGAGTTCAATCTGTCCTATCAAAAAAAAACAAAAAACAATCGGCGTGAGGTGC